GAGGGGCCAGAGCTGTGCGCGGGGCCGAGTGCGCCGCTGAGACAGCCCGCGGGAACCCGGACCCCGAGGAGCCCCCCTCGTCCTCGCCCGGCCTGGCCAGGCCCTGCGCTATGGAGTTCCTCTGGGCCCCGCTCTTGGGTCTGTGCTGCAGTCTGGCCACTGCTGACCGCCACACCGTCTTCTGGAACAGTTCAAACCCCAAGTAAGCCCCGAGTCTCCGGCCGGCAGCCTGGGCGCCCGGTTCGCACTGCCCACCCCCTAACCCCTCCTGCCCGGGTAACTGTGCCTGCCAGCCCCTGACCTGAGTCTTGGGGCGGTGACCAGAGGCGGGAGGGATTCCGTAGACTCTTTCCCCCTCACTTCTCCCCCATAACTGGGAGTACCCCACCCCTGGGCAGGAACCTGTCCGTGACTGCTTGCACAGGGTTCTTTCTGCCCTTCCTTTCCGTCTCTGGTACCTCTGTTACTCTGAAGTGAGGGACCCTTGCTGAACAGTTCTGCCGGCCAGGGCTCTTGTTCTAGGCCCTTCCACCACAAAAGCTTCTGTGTGTCACTTGGACATGTGCCCACCCGGACAGGTACCTGATGTGACATCAGGCGTAAGCAGAATGCTCATTGTAATCCTGGGAGGACCCCTCAGGAGGGACCTGGCCTTCTGGCTTTAAGCGTCTGCATTCTGTGTTTGAGATGAGCCTGGAAAGCTTCCCTCCACACACAAGGGATCTTCCGAGGTGGCACGAGTGGGGCACATGCTGTGTGTAGGTAGGCTGAGGGAGTCACCTGTTTAGAAGATTTGGGGGGGGGGGTAGGGAGGGCATGGGAAAGGTTCAGAAGGAGTGGAAAGGGTTAAAAGGGTGACAGAGGGCTCTGGGCAGGAAGGAGTTAATTTCTCCTGGGCAGGTTTAGGGCTGGGAGGCAAATGGTACTGGGAGGAAGAAGCCCCGTTGGACCCTTTGTTCTTGCCCTTGAGTTTTTGAAGTTATGGGAACAATATTTGTGGGAAAATGGGGGAGGGGGGTAGGGTGGAGCAGGGAGAGGAGGTCTGGGCAGCTTGGGGTCAGGAAAAACACTTCACTCAGCTTGGCCACCCGCAGCCCTAGCACGCCAGCCCCCCACGCCCCTTGAGAAATGTGTTGTGCCAGCTTCCTCTGACCCTGTGGCAACATTGCCTGGTGGGGGGTCTGTGGGCTGGGGCTTGTGGGTTGGGGAGGGAACAGCCAGCTGCCAACGCAGGAGGCCAGTGCCCTTTTGCCCATTGGCCACAGGGGCAGCCGGGTCAGCCCCCTCCACCTCACTGCTTGCTTCCTGTTCTTTACCTCCTTGATCCAATCTTGTCCTAGTGGGAGAGAGCGAAGTCCCTGTTTATGCCCATGCCAGGTGTTGGCTGGAGGAGGAGGAGGGGCAGGAAGCCATGAGTAGGGAGGGGGGAACCTGGCCTTTTCCGTTCCCAAGCTCCCAGATTTCCTCTCTTTCAGGAAGGAGCCTCTTCCTTGCCCCCCCTCTCCGCCTTCCCTGACGCCGCTGCTGCCCCCCTTTCCCAGACGGGGAGCCAGGGTCAGAGGAGCCTAAGTGGAACAGATTGTACTGGGGGGGGGAGTAATGGGTGCCCCCACCAAGCACAGCTTCTGCCCTGTCCATTTGGCCACACGTGCGCGCGCGCGCGCGCACACACACGCTCCACCATCCCAGGATTGAAGAGAAGCCAGCCAGAGTGCAATGCACAGGCAGCCAAGCTGGCCCGCTTGCAAGCACAGATGAGGTGGCGATGAGCTGGGCGGGGGTGAGGCTGGCCTGGGTGACTCAGGGTAGTGGGCATCGGCGGGATCTCCAGGTCCCAGGCGGGGGGGGGCAGCTTGGGGAGAAGGGCGGGGCTGCCGTGAGCTGGGCGCTGGCCTCCCGGGTGCTGGAGGGGCACGTAGCCCACCCACTCAGACCTGCCAGCTCCTTAGGCCTGGGGGACCGAGCCCGGGGCAAGTCCTGGCATTGGGGTCTGGGGGGCCACGCACACTGGACAAGGTAAACGTTCACAGGTTCTCATGAATGCTGGGGCGGGTGGCAGAGGTGGATGAGGAATGAGTCAGTGCCCGTCACGGGAATGGGGGGGAAAGACGCCAGGCCGAGAGCTGAAATACCTGTTTGAAATGGCTTCTATGTTTATCTCTCCAGAGAGGAATTTTAAAAGCCTCTCCCTCGCTCGCGCGCTCCTCCTCCCCTCCCCCTCCTCCGCCCCAACTCCCTCCTCCACCCCCCCCCGGGGGAGGGGCCCGGGGTAGCCAGGGCCGAGAGCTGGCAGGCTGCCCCCAGGCCGGGCCGTGGTGGTGGTGGGGGGGGGATTGTCCCACGGACGGGGCAGGGGGTGCCCACCCCAGGGGCCTCGAGTCCGAACTCCTGCCCTCCCCCCACCTGTGCCGGAGCTTTGGTTGGCAGCCAGCACTGCTGAGTCTGGCTGGCAGCGCCGGGGAATTTAGAGTCGCTGACCAGCTCGGAGGGGGCGGGAGTGGGGGGGGTGGGAGGCAGCTCCCCCGCCAGGACCCCACCCCGCCCCCCGCTGGAGCCAGGTGTCTGGGGCCGCCGGGCTGGAGCCCGAGGGGCCTGCGGGAGGGAGCTGGCTGCCCCTGGGATCGCGGGTGGGAGAGGAGGCCTCCCACCGAGAACTCCAGCAGCTCTGGAGCTCCTTCCTCGGAGGTGAAGTGTGGCTTTGGAGGTAAAGGGACTGGGAGGTTTGGGGTGCTTTGGGAGAAGGGGACAAGGAGGCCTGAGCCTAAACTGGAGGAGCTAGAAGGGGGATTTACTGTGGGCCTGGTGTGCTGGGGGCGGGAGTGAATGCACTCAGGGGCTCAGGGGAAAGGCCAGGAGTGAGGGACCCCAAGCCGTAGGTGTGCTGGGGGCTAAGAGCAGGTAAGCGCAGCTAGGAGAGCAGGGGTTCCTAGACCCCCATTGCAGTATGCCCGCAGGCTGGGAGGGTCTCAGACTGAGGGCTAACAACATTTAAAGGAGTAACTGGGAGAACAGATTTGGGGAAATGCTCCCGGGAGAAGAGCAGGATGAGTGACCTAAGGACACAGTCAGTAGCCCTTCCATGGGTAAATGTCTGGGGCTTATGCAAAGTGCTTTGGTACCTGAAGGATACTAAAGTGGGCACTGTTTAGAGGATGAACTAGAGGTAGTGATGGGAGCAGGCGTGTGTGAAGATGGTGTAAAGATACTGAAGAGGTCAAGATCAGTAAATATTGGGAGTTGAGCTTCTTGAAGAATCTTTGTGGGGGTCCAGTGTGAAATGCGGGGGGCCAGGAAACATTTGGAAGCTCGCAGCCCTAGCCGGGCTTCCCGGTGATGGCCTGCTTCCTCCCGCCCTGCACACGCAGGTTCCGGAACGAGGACTACACGGTGCACGTGCAGCTGAACGACTACCTGGACATCCTGTGTCCGCATTACGAGGATGACACCGTGGCCGACGCCGCCAGGGAGCGGTACACCCTGTACCTGGTGGAGCGCGAGGAGTACCAGCGGTGTCAGCCCCAGTCCGAGGACCAGGCTCGCTGGCGGTGCACCCAGCCCAGCGCCAGGCACGGCCCCGAGAAGCTGTCGGAGAAATTCCAGCGCTTCACGCCCTTCACCCTGGGCAAGGAGTTCAGGGAGGGGCACAGCTACTACTACATCTGTGAGTTCTCAGGGCTCGCACACAGCCCCTCCCATCCTGAATTGTTTTCATGCGTTCACATGACAAGCGTGGAGTGAGCTTCTGCTGTGTACGGGGCACTCTGCTTGGCACGACAGGCACAGAGATAAATAAAACTCCGTAGGGCCCCTATCCTCCAGGAAACTGGAAAGCGACGCACACGGGGGACTCACCATTAGCACAGCACGATATGAAGACACGGACACAGGGGCCTTGGGAGAATGACGTGGGTAACAGCCAGGCTCCGGAGGCTCAGAGATGGGCTCCTGGGGAAGATGACCCAAGAGCTTAGGACAGGCAGAGACGCTGGCCAGGCACGAGGGGACATGTGCAAAGGGAGCATGACATCTTCAGGGAACTCTATATGGTTCAGTCTGGCTGCAGTAGGAGGGACCCTGGAAGTGGGCAGAGGTGGACAGGGCACATCATGGGGGCCTTGGAAGTGCTAAGGAGTTTGGATTTTGTCCTAAGGGTAGTAGAGAAGCACTCGTGGCTACAAGAGTTAGAAAATCTGCTGGTCAGTGGGGCCTAGGTAGGGGGAACATAGTGTGAAGGCCTCAGCCAACTTCGGGCTGGGAAGAGTGAAGGATGGACTGTGGCAAGAGGACAGGGTCTGTGTGCTTTTACCGCCACCTCCAAAGCCAAGGGTCACTGCAAAGAATGGGAGGTTAAGCGTGAGGCAGAAAGCGGGCAAACGACAAGGAAGGCGAGAATCACAGATGAGCAGGAAGAGAGGCGCTCAAGTGAGCAGGGCCTGAGAGAGGAGAGCCAGAGGGTTTGCACTTGTATTTTCTCCCAACAAAGGTTCCTCCCTTAACGCTCTGCGCGGGCTTGTCTTGCAGCTAAACCCATCCACCACCAGGAAGACCAGTGCTTGAGGTTGAAGGTGACTGTCAATGGCAAAATCAGTGAGTGTCAGAGCCCTGTGAGCCTCCTTCCTCCATCTGTTTGCGGGGCCTGGGCTAGTGACCTGGGATGGCAGGGAAGTTCCACCTGCCTGCCTCCCCAGGACAGTCCCTGATCGGCCACCGCCCTTGCCTTTCAGCTCACAGTCCTCAGGCCCATGCCAATCCACAGGAGAAGAGACTTCCGGCAGGTAGGTAGCCAGAGCAAATTGGGCCTGGGGTCTGCTTACAGAGGTTGGGTACAGAAGGTGGCTTCTTTGCCAGGTGGGGGCTGGGGAAACCTCATGGAGCTGACGGCCAATGCCAGCAATAGGGCCGCTCACCTTGGGGGCGCTTGCCCTCTCATCTTGCAGATGACCCAGAGGTACAAGTTCTCCATAGCATCGGTCACAGTGCTGCCCCCCGCCTCTTCCCACTTGCCTGGGCTGTGCTGCTCCTGCCATTCCTGCTGCTGCAGACCCCATGAAGGGCTGTGTGCCACATCCAGCCTAAGGACTGGACCGGGGCTGAGGAGGCGGGGCGGGGCATCCCTCACCTGTCCTGGGAACCATTCCCACCACATGCACAAGCTGCCATTCAGCAGCCTCAAAACGGGTCAGGATTAAGGGTTTCAACCCAAAGGAGGTCAGCAAGCCTGGCATTGCCATCCCTTCCTCCACCCTGAGGGACAAAGAAGTGGGGACAGTCCTTCCCCCCCATTCCTGCCCTTAAGCCAAAGAAACAAGCTGTGCAGACGTGGCTTCTTAAGGAGGGCACCGTGGGAGCCAAACTGGAAGGGGCCTGGGGTCATGCAGATGGACACTGAGCTTGGCAGAGATGCCCCTCCCAAGAGAGCCAGGATGCCTGGATGAACTGACCGACGGAAAAGCAGGAGACAGTTCCATGCTTGGGAGCCAGAGACCGGGAGAGGCGGCGTGCTTGGGCTGACCCAGCATCTCTCCTGAGGCTTCCGGAAGACTTTGAAGCTGCCATGGAGAGGTTTGTAGCCAGGCACCACATCCTGTCCCATCTGGGGCAGCACTGCCCAGAGCGGTGCCCGCAGGGGGCTGTGCCACCCTGTGCCTGGAGTGTAGCTGCAAGGGCAGGACCCACGCATACAGGATCTGTATATAAACTTGATGTGTGTCTGCTGATTTCTACAACTGGAGTTTTTTTATACAAAAAAATAAAGCGATGTGTTTCTTTATTTGGACATGCTTGTCTGCCCCCCCACACCCCATCCCCCATCCTGATTTAGGACCACTGGGTCCCTGCCACGTGCTAGGCTCTGTGGGACACCGGGCAGCAACTGGGTTTAAATTTTCTTCCTTCCATCTGGAAAGAATACACGCCCCTCACTAGCACCAAAGGGTGGGGTGCTTCCTCCTCTGAGCGCCGCACTGCGGTCTCGGGGGCTCCAGGCTGCACTCCACTCCCACATCGCGGGGCTTTGGCAAACCGTCCGGTTGCTCCTGCTGTTGGGTGCATCGGGGAATACCAGCCGAGGCACGGCAGGCCGCCTGGTCCCACAGACCCGGCAGCCGGGGCAGCCGGGGCAGCCGGGGCGTGCGGGCTGTGGGCTGTGCGAGGCCGCAGGGAGAGTCCCCAGCAGCAGGTCCTGTCGGTTGGACTAGGGCGTCAGTGACAGGTGCTCCAGCCGATTGGCCCAGTCACCCAAAGTTGGCAGTGTGGCTGAAGGCGGAGGGCGCCTGACGGAATGGTGATTCCCGGCAAGCCCACTTATTTAGGGGAGACACTGGGAAGAGGCTTCAACAAACCGGGGAAAAGCCTGGGCAGGTGAGGTTGCGATCGGGGCCTCCGGGGCGGGAAATGTCCAGCAATTAAGGTCGGCCACGACGGCTCATGGGCAAGAGACTTGAGGCTGGGGTCCGGGTGAGCCAAGGGGTAAGCAGAAAGGGAGGAGCGGCGGGTGCCCGGGGCCGGTCCGCGGAGCCCGGGCTTGGCACCCGCCAGGACCTGGAGAGGCCACATCGTACCAGGCCTCCGGCGCGCCGGGACCGGCAAGGGTGGGGCCTGGTGATCGGGGGGCGGGACCTGGTTCCGGCAGGACGCCCGCGTGGGCGGGGCTGCGGGTCCATTTCCGGCGGACGGCGGCGCGCGGAGGGGGCGGGGCTCCGGCGCGGGGGCGGGGCTCCGGCGGCGCGGGCTCTGGCCCAGCAAGTGGACGGCGGCGCTGCGCCCCGGATCCGTCGCAGGGGGAGATGGAGGCTGGTGGCGTGGCCGACTCGCTCCTCTCTGGAGCTTGCGTGCTCTTCACCCTCGCCATGTACTCCACCGGCCTGTGAGAGCGCGGCCGGGCTAGGCTGGGGCAGGACCTGGAAGTCAGGAAGGGAGAGAGAGGGAACAGAGACGTGGCCGCAGCTCCAGGCTGCATCCGAAACCTGGGTCAAAGTGGATTCGGGTCGAGGGATCCGGGGCACAAGGGCGAGGCTGGGCACTTGAGGGACAGGCCAGAGAGCTGAGGGCGGGGCCGGGACCTGCAGTTGTCCGGGGACGACCACAGGCATCAAGGATCTCGACTCCCCAGCAGCCCGGTTCTCCCTTCCCATCTCTCACCTCTGCTTTCGGGACCCGTTACAGCTCGGACCTCAGGCAAATGCGGATGACCCGGAGCGTGGACAGTGTCCAGTTCCTGCCCTTTCTTACCACGGACATCAAGTGAGAGGGGCGACGTTTGCGGCGGGAAAGGTTGAGGGAGGTGGGGAGGTGGGGAGGTGGGAGGAGGAACGCTGAAGAGGCCCCTTGGGTCCCCTTCCCATCCTCATCCCCGTGGTGAACGACCCTCCTGTCCACCCTGCAGCAACCTGAGCTGGATGAGTTACGGGGCCTTGAAGGGTGACGGGACCCTAATCTTTGTCAACGCCACGGGTGCTGTGCTTCAGACCCTGTATATCTTGGTGTATCTGCACTACTGCCCTCGGAAGGTAGAGACCCTCCCTTGGACCCACATCTGCTGCTCACCCTGCCATGCTGGCAGAGTAAACACTGCTTCCTAGAAGATTATGATAGGCTGGCCATTGCCACTTTTTCCTGGAAGGCCCCTCCAGCCTTGCAGTCCTCCTTCCTCCGTGAAGCCAGCCTCTGAGACCCACACATTGGGCACCCCCCCCCATTTCTGGCAAGCTGGTAGTTCTGCCTAGCCTGATGGTGCCTTGCTGCTCAACAAGCTGAGAGGAATGGGCTTTTGTCTCTGATAGTTCCTTCAGAGTCAGCGCCAGTGCCTGAGAAATGAGTTGATTAGCTGTGCTTCCCCAATCCTACCAGCATTTAAGTTCCTACTGTGTGTACCAAGTTCACACCAAAAACAAAAGCAAAACGCTTCTCTCCTAGAAACCTCTAGTGTTGTGGGTGGATGGGACATGTGTTTGTCACTGGTGGGAAAGAGGCTGCAGCAACTGCTATACTGAGGCTTAGCCCAAGGTCAGCTCCCCCACTGGAGCAGGAGAGTCCGAGAGGGCTCCTGAAACATCTAGAAGTACGGCTGCTCTCTCCCCTGCAGCGTCCGGTGCTCCTTCAGACTGCAACCCTGCTGGGGGTCTTTCTCCTGGGTTTTGGCTACTTTTGGCTCCTGGTGCCCAACCTTGAGGCCCGGCTTCAGCAGCTGGGCCTCTTCTGCAGTGTCTTCACCATCAGCATGTACCTCTCACCACTGGCTGACTTGGTGAGTCGGGGGCTGTCCAGGGAAGTGGGGGAGATAAGACGGGTCAGGGTCCCATAGCCAGAGACTGTATGTGGCTTACACTCCAAAGGAAGATCCTGGAAGACAGGGCAGTAGAGGTAGGTGAGTGGGAGGCAAGAGGACAAGGCTGGGTAACAGAAGATCAGAGAGGATGTTTGACCTTTTTTCTGAGGACATTCTTAGACAAGTGGGAGCTCTAGGATGTGTCTGGGATAGGGGTCTTTCATCCTTTTTCTGTAGGCCAAGATCATTCAGACGAGATCAACCCAGCGTCTCTCCTTCCCACTCACCATTGCCACCCTCCTCACCTCTGCCTCCTGGACCCTGTATGGGTTTCGGCTAGGCGATCCGTACATCATGGTAAGCCCAACAGAGAGGGATGGCTGACAGGTGTGTAAAGTGGAAAATGAGCTCCTCTCCTCATAGCAGCCCTTGTGATTTCAGGTGCCCAACCTACCAGGGATCCTCACCAGCTTCATTCGCCTCTGGCTTTTCTGGAAGTACTCCCAGGAGCAAGACAGGAACTATCCACTCTTGCAAACCTGAGGCAGTTCACCTGACCACTGGGCACCTAATGCCAACCTGCTACCAAAGAGAGCTCCTTGCAGCTGTTCCTGCTGACCAGCTCCATGAGCACAGTGGGTTGTCGAAAAGAAAAAGATGACTCTGAGAATCGAGGGACCAAAGAAAGCGTTTTGCTTGGAAGATTGACTGGGACTTGGGAGATGAATCACTTATTTTTTATAGATTATATTTTTTAATTGTGGAGGTTGTGGTGAAATCCTTAGAATGTGCCTTAAAATAAATTGTTCCTTACCCCTGCCCATAAAAGCTTAGTCTCTATCTGGTGATTCTCAACCTGCCTGCTTGGTGAAGGGCAGAAGTGCACTGCCTGATCCACAGTTGTTCACGGGCTGGGGTTGGCTCAGAGGAGGTATTTGAAGGAACCACGAAGTCGTAAAGACCCAGGAAGGCCTTCAAAGAACAGAGCCTGGGTGTTACGAAGAACGGAAGTTAAGACTTCAAGAAGTCCTTCCTGAGAGGGTTAAAAGGACCAAGAAAGTGAAATGACATTTCCATCTCGAGAGACCTTGAGAAGGGGTCTTTGCCTCCTTTGGAGCAAAAAGGAGGAGGGACACAAGTAAGGATGCAAAGATAAAAGCGGAGATGACCTCAGGAAGGTGGCTCGCCCCCACCCCCACCCCCCGCTTCCCCACAGCCGGTACACAGAATCCCCAGTTCCCGCTCTCCATAAACAAAACAAAGTTAGAAAATAAGCTTCTCTTTAATGGGCGGCGGGAAGAAAGGCTGTCCGGTGGGAATGGGGTTGGGGTGTCAGAAGCGCATCCCCCTGCGGGCTAAGTCGGCTCGGGCCTCCTGGATCTGGCTCTGCAGCTCGCGGGCGGCGTCCTCACAGTCGTGGAAAGTGGCCACGCGATAGCCCACAGTGCCCAGGGCATAGCAGCCGGCGGACACCAGCAAGTAGGCCGGCAGTGGCCACAGCACCTCCCGGCATGACGAGGGCAGCTCCAGGCCCAGGGCTCCCGTGGTCAAAGCCGCCCAGGTGGAGCCCAGGAGCGCCAGTCCCCAAAGCCACTGCGCTAACTTCGTCATGGGCACTGCGGGGAGAGAAAGCAGAGCTCGCGGCCCCTTCCGCCCCGCTACCCCCCTCCATCGGAGACCACCCACCCTCCGTATCACCTACCCTCAGGGCCGCTCCGCCGCCGCTCTCGCCCAGCTCGCCCCCCGCTTTCGGCCCTCAGCCTGCACTCACCCCCGCCGCCGTCTCCCCTGCCCGGCGCAGCTCCGACGTCAGCGTCCCGAAGGTCTCTCGGCTCGCGCGGCTTTCTGGGAGTTGTAGTCCTCGCGGCGGCGTCGCGCTCTGCCTCGCGCGGCCTTCTGGGAGTTGTAGTCCCCGCGGTGGCTCCCGGGGGAGTGGCAGCCGCCGCCTGCGTCTAGGCTGCGTTCGCAGAGCCTCCGACGGCGGCCCGAGTGCCCGGGGGCTCCCGTGCAGCGCTGTCCGTGAGGACCCCGCTCCACGCTGGCTGGCGTCCTGCTGAGGACACCCTCAAACTTTGCGAGAAGATGGGAATGTAACCTGGGTCCCCCTAGACTTTATTCACGTATTCTTTCCTTCACTGCAACGTTGCCTGGTCACCGTCATAGCCTTCGGAGAAATGCAGCGGTGCAGACACTCGGCCCCAAAGCGGACGCCTTGACCGCTGACCGTGACGCCTCGAGATAGCTGTTAGAACAGAGGATGTCACCCTTTAATAAAGACCCGCAGCCGAGCTACAGTGCAGCTTGGAGCCCGAGGAAGAGGGGCTCTGGGAGGGGTCTTCAAGGAAAGAAAAGTGAGTTTAAGGTATTGAGAGAGGAGTTTTAGGCATGAATTCATGGTAGGGTACGTGGAAAACCAAGTAAGGGAAAAGTCGGGCAATTACCAACATCGGGGAAAAGACTCACAAAGAAAGGGCGCGGACAAGAGCCTGCCTGGCAAGGGTCTC